ACTTCCGAATCCATGAACTTCTTAGGGTCGTCGGCGTGCTTGGTACGCATTTCTCGATTCTTCAAAGTTTTCCTTTCCAGCTGAACAGACAGTATTCAATATTGCTCTTCAATATTACACCTTTGGTTGTTGAATTTCGCAATACTGTTCACAATTTGCTGCCCCTATCATACAGAATCAGGCCAGTTTCTTAACAATTTTCTCCTGCGAAGGCGGATTTAGCTAAAAATTTGTTCTCCAGGGATGTTACCTCCTGAACACGAGTATTGAATCCGCTTGGCATAAAATCGCCTAGTGCCCAAGCCACAGGTATCGGCGCCAAAACATAAACAATCATGTCAAAACTTGTCTCATAATGACCCTCTGACAGGAATATCACATCCACTTTGCCTGAAGCTGCCTAGCGCCCGAGCCAAAACAACCTAAATCATCAGAAAAGACCAAAAACCCGCCTACAGGGTGTTTTGAACTACTGAACATGATATTATATAAGCTTGGTCTGAGACCGCCTGGCCGTGTTACAGGCCTTAGCACAACCTGCCTCTTTAACACCAGCGCACGTAGCGCCGGCTGCAGGCCATATCGTGTCAAGCGCTGTCCAGCGCAGTTGGTGATAATTGGCGAGACAAAGCAACACTCTTTCAGACTAGCTGAGCCTTAGTGGATGAAAGGATCACTGTCTCGCAAGGCAGCAGACGGGCAGAAGCAGGCCGCGCTGTAACGCGCGCCTCTTCGGACTCAAGCAACTCCTGAGCAGAAATTTTCAACCAATGTGCTAACTTGGGAAGTGGCAAATGGCGTGGACTCCAGACGCTAACTTGAGAGGTGCGCCAGTGGAGTGGACTCCAGGCGCTTCCATGCTAAGCAGCATTATGAATAATTAGTGCCGGGTTCGTTTTTCTATAGAGTGTACTGGGGATGAAAGGCAAACGCAATCCGTCTTCCTCGAAGAGTATTCTTCATTTGATGATGTTGGGTCAATAATAGCAGAACAGCTTCTCCTTTTCGAGAAACGTTTCAACCACAAGGAACAGAAATACCATAGAACATCTGCATAAAGCGGACGAGAAAACTAGAAAAACGACCTGCAATGTAATTTTTCGAATGTGAGCCTCATCAACGGTAACTGCTTGTGCGGCGTGTTGTTCGAGTGCAGCAAGAATGTCTTCTGGTTTCGTTGAAGCAATGCTAGTTGGCAAATTTTGCTCAGCTTCCGAGGCAGCTGGACGATATCGTTTCACGGGTGGCTGAAATCATCAGTAACATCATGATGGATGTCTTATATCACACTGTCACATTTCTTCAACATTACGTATCATTCAAACCAAATCCAGATTTTTAGCTACAATAGTAAAGCTTGCATCCGCTTTTAATCATTCTATCCATTAAGAAGTACCCACTTTCAGTTGTAGACCGATAATAAGGAACATTGAAAGAACGAACGAAATAAACACAGCTTAGTCTATCTTCAACTCATCCTACAAAGAAACTTCCGGGAAAGATTTAACAGACAATATTTGGAAACGGAAAACATATCTTTCAGATTTCTAGCTCCATCTTCGGACGTCCAGCACTTGCTAGACGACAAAAGATAATGGATAGTCTTCGCCGTTGATCCCCTTTTTGGGATGCAGCATTCTACTTCCATTCAGAATCAGTGGCTTACTGAATGCGATGTGGCCTATACAATGACTTGCGGGGCCAGCCGATGTACAAGTCAGTGTTTTATCCTCCCAGACGAATCTGGTACCAATTTACCGTCCCCGGAGGGTAGAAGGCTTGGTTGGCCTGGGCGGGAGTCGACCCGGGATTTGAACCCGGACCTTGCGCGTGCATTGCCAGATGATATGTATTGATAATATCGCGTAATTTGG